TCTTCTCTTATCATCCTATCATTTTTGATGATTGAACTTGCGTAATAACAACGGTCGTCGTCGTCGTTAACAAGGTGCAAAGACTTCATCATATGTATATGTACTCAAGGATCATTGATCAAAGTATTTGTATCAGGTCAGAATGATGCTCGATTGAATCTCAATATTTAAATAAAAATGACTCGCTTCTCAAGAGCTTTAGTAAAATAATAGCACGTCTATTCATTGTGTTCGAAAGAATGTATATTATATATATATATAGATGCGGTTGCTTCTGAAAAACCGTTTTTTTTTTCTTCTCTTGTTCTCGATGTTCTTCGATACTGATTCTTCCTCGACATACAAAAAAAAACGAAACAGAAAGAGAGAAAAAAGTGGGTATAGCAATGTTTGATTGTTGATATCCCTAGAGAGATTCAAAAAAAAAAAAAACAGCAAAAAGACCGACACAGTCATCGTAGCATTTTTATTTTCTCTCTCTCTCCCTTTTCCCACTCTGCCGGTGCATTCTCACGAGTCTGTAAAAAGAATTTTCTTATACTCTCGTTCGTTCTCTCTTATGCAAATATGTTTCCATCGTCAAAGAGAAAGAGAGAAGTAGTATCACTTTAATCACACTCACTCACGGTAGTTAGTAGTAGTAATGTTAGTAGTATGCACTGACGGAATGGAGAGGAGAGAGATAGATAGCAACAGAGAGAGAGAGAATCAAGAGGGAGATATTGTTATAATAAAAACCAGAATTTATTAGAAGAATAAATAGAAATTCGACGTTGAGTTGAGCATATATAACAACACTCACATATAAATCAAGAGTCACGAGCAAAACCTATCAGTCTTAATCTTTGTTTTTTATTGAATTTTAATAAGAAAATTGACATTCAAAATTTTAAGTTTTGTTTTTCTTTTCCGTATAGATATATAGATTTTAAATAGTAAAATGAGTGTTGAATATATATATATACATATATATATACATGTGCGATAGGATACAAGGAAATCGGATCTGTAAAAAAGTAAACCTCCAGTAGTATCGTGTCAATAATACATACACACACACCGATATTGCTTCAAGTAGATATCTTTTGAATAAATCAGTTATTCTTTTTTCAATATGAGGTTTCAACTTTAGTCAGTTTTCTGGCTTTCTTTTTTTTTATTCTCTTTGTCTCTCTTTTTTGCTCCTACTTGTTGTAGTTGATATTTGACAAGAGATTAGTTTTTCTTCAAAGCCTCGTCATCCTATTTTTTTTGTTCTTGTTCTCACACTATCAAACTATTCGTTGACCTTCACCCGTATTTTATATATTTGTTACAACATTTTAACAAAATTTCATCACGATTTGATATCCGGCAGTTCAAATCTATAAGTACGTGTGTAAATTCTTTTCTTTCTTTTTCTTTTTTCTTTTTTTGTGCAAAATACTTGTCATTACAATGTTAAGACGTTTTTCTTCAATATAATGGCACTACTGTCATCATCATTCGCTTCATTTGTACATTTATGCCTGTGTGTCGCGAAACATGGTGCAATGACAACTATAAGCGAATAAGGGTGCGTGTGCATATAAGCGCTGTTGACAAAAAAAAAAGAAAGAGGGAGAGAGAGAGAGAAGAGAGTAATGGTCGATAATAAATAGCAAATCTATAGATTGTTGCTTGCAAAGGCACAAGAGCCGAAACCAATGCATTTCTCTCTCTCTTCCTTGTCGTTCTGTCGTTCTTCAAAAAAACAGCTGCATCAGCAGCTCATAGTGGCAGACGCAGCACCATACATAAAGTAATAGAACTGAGTAAAAGAAGAAAAAGGAAGAAAAAAAAGAGAATCTTTTTTTTTGTGCGCTCGTCTGTTGCCTTTGCATGTATGTGTGTATATGTTGTTGTCAGCAGCAGCAGCAGCAGCAATAGAGTCGTAATAAAAGAAAAACGAAGAAAAAAAAAAAAAGAAGAGAATGAGAGAGAAGAAAAAAAAAAGTTATTTCATCAAAAATGGCATCGAGCCACTGTTGCCGTCATGTCATCCTTCGGTCTACGACTTGTACAAGCCAACAGGACAAATACAAGTTTTGGCTCTAAAAGGAAGTATTCGCCTACTGACGACTTCTATAAGAAGGACATACAGATACACACAGACAGATGCAGACAGGTAAGAAAAAAAAACCTTCGGATGCTATTGCTTGTATATATAATATATGTGTTACCTTTGCACGTTTCTTTTTTTTTTTCTTGTATATGTGTATTCGTTTTTTTACTGTAGATGAGTAAAGCTATCAAGCAAAATGCGTATGTAAAAGTATGCGTACGAGTATCTTTAAGACTGAATAAAAAAAAAACGAGACGAGGGAACGGGGAAGGAAAAAAAACACCATATACGCATTTGTTGTTCGTGTAAGCACTGAGCAATAGATAAAAAACATACACACATATGCGGAATAACGACTACTGACAGTTGTTCAAATCATGCGAAGTAATTTTTTTTTTCTTTTTTAGTTCAAGAGGTAGGATTTTCTTTTTCTTTTTTTTCTTTTTCTATTACGAAAAAACATTCAATTTTGTTTATTTATTATTTAATCTAATTTCCTTTATCGGATGGATTAGTTGAGATTTTTTGACATAAACGAATTTATGAAATTAGCGTTCTTTCATCGTATCTATGCACGTCAAGTATATAAATGTATATTTATTAATTGAGGAAAGTCAGCATAGAATCTATCCAGTTCTTTTTACCATATATATATATATATATTTGTCTGTCGTATAACCTTGTGCTTGTCTCATTGACACTGCTTATGTTTTCTGTACGTATATTGCCTTTGTTCATTACTCATCTGTCGTTTTATATCTATTCCGTCTATCAATTTTTAAGCAATAATATAGAAGAATAATAACAGTAGTATAAACAGAGTTTAATGAAAATAAAAAAAAAAAATAAGAAAATAATATTGGATAACGATTGTTCAATGAACCGATTTATTGAAAATCGACCATACATATATAAAGCCTATTAGATATATAGTACATATCGAATGTTGTTTTCTATTTTTTTATTTTTTTTATTAATCTGTCTACTTATGTATATATATATATATATGTATGTATACATAAATGTTTGCGATGATCGAACATAAAATAATTTTAACATTTTGACGTTATTTTACCGATGAGAAAAGAAAAAAAAAAGAAAAAGAGGATAGAAAAAGAAAAGTACACGTACAAATATCAATTGCGAAGAAAACTGAAAAAAAAGAAATGATGGCAGTTCTCTTACATATATATATACAATGCAATGGTGTTACGTCGATAGGGAGGAACTTGGGGCGTCGACAATGCTGTTCTTTTTTTTTTTTTTCTTCTTTTTCCCTTCTGTTGTTGGTGTAGTGCTGTATTTGACACATGAGCGTGAGTAGTTGTGCTCGTCTCTTTTTCTCTTCATCTCGTGCCGATGAAATGAATAAGAATCAGCAAATGAGTCCTTGTTACTTACGTTGAGCGCTTTGCATGTTGAAGATCACTGATCGTTGCTAACCGGTTTTCGTATTTTGTCGCGTTATATTTATGCATCATTGCTATTTCGGTGTATTTACTTACGGTACTCCTGCTGTTTCTCTTTTTCTTTTCTTTTTCTTCGTATGACAAGTAGAAGTCCTTGTTCGAGCACTTCTATCACAATCGGATCCGATTACGGTCTGCATAAATGTTCGCACACGAGTCTCTCTTACTTCAGTTACTGCCGATGTAATGAAAAAAAAAAAACGAGTAAGAAACCTTCATTAAGAGTCCTATCTGTACATTTCATCGCTTGCCTCCAGCAAATAGTAGACGCGTTTACATACAAGTAGAAAACTAAAACAACAAAATGATTTATATCGACCTTGCAACTGAGACAGCACTTTTTTTTTCCTTCGATTACAGAAAAAGCAAAAAAAAACACAGACAAGTTCTATAGTTACAGTAAAATGATTATTAGTTATATATTATTTATCTGTTAGACTGATATTATAAGGAAAACATATAAACGTATATATTGATATCTTTAAGAAGAATGTAAAATATGTTTGCGTTCAAATGCACACCATAAATACATGATTTATGGTGCACAATGCGTGAATAAAATGTATAGTATGTAATAGAGCTTTAAAAAAGACGAATGCAGTGGCATGCGAAGTAAAAAATAAAATAAAATAAAAAGAAAAGGAAGAAATAATGACAGAAGACGAAGAAAAAAAAACGAAGAAGAAAAGTATATAGTATACTGTCGAGAAAATTAAGAACTATGTTTCTTATTGCTATTGATACTGTTGTTGTTGTTTTCAAGATCGTATTTTTCTGATAATTATTCATTATACGACGTACAATTTTTCTTGTCTATACCCATCATGACAACAACAACAACAGCAACAAAGAGAATACCCTTTATACTTTACTGCCATCATCAGGTTGATGATGAAAACTAACAACGATACTGATCAAATTACACTTTTATTCTAGGAATTGTTTTTCTGCCACTCGTCTTGTAATAAATTTTTTTTTTCATTATGGTTTTTGTTTTTTGTTCTACAACCACTTTATAGACTATAAAATGTCAATTACTTTCGACATTCTTCTTTGCTTTGCTATTCCAACATGTATAAACATGTAGATCTATATATATATATTCATCTACATGCATTGATGGTAGATTATTAATAGACTATGTCATGACGGTACTGGTAGGTTTGCTGATTTTTCCTTTAATATATTTTTTTTTCTATCATAGCGTACATATATATATATATACGTACAAATCTATTCTAGATGTTATACGACATTAGATCAACCTATTTTCTTAATATATTCGTCTATATGCAATGAAGTCTTGACAATATACCATATCAATACAATCATATATAAACAAAAAACAGTGCTATACATCCGACAAACAGTGAGCCTTGTAAATGTCTTTCAGTTTTACCGCAACGCCAACCGATCCACACGGCGCTCATCATTCGTCACCGAACAGTATGCATCATCAACAGTATGTAAGTTCATTAGCTGGTTCATCATCGTCATCAACTGGTGGATCTCCAACAACAGCTGCACAAGTTCAAGCAGCAGCAGCGGCTGCTGCTGCAGCTAATATACCATTAATAGCATCAATAGCCAATGTTAAAGATTCACGTTGGCTTACACTTGAAGTATGCCGTGAATATCAACGTGGAAAATGTACCCGGTCCGAACAAGAATGTAAATTTGCTCATCCACCAACACATGTTGAAGTTAATAGTGGCAAAGTTATCGCTTGCTTTGATTCACTTAAGGTTTGTAATTTACATAGATAATATTGTATATTACTTTTGTTAGTTTTCTTTTCTTTTTTTTTTTGACTCAAAACAGTACCTTTGAGATAAGTATGTATGTCGATTGAAGGAAGAAAAGAAGTTTTATATCATAATAGTACTTATGATTATCATTGAGGAAGTTATATGATTATGTTTTACTTAGATAAAAATACTTTAAAACAATTTTACAATAGAAAGCAAAACAAAAAACTCCTCAAAATAAATGTGTTTTTTTTTTAATATAAGTTGTTTCATCGTGTGAAATTACTTCTACGATGAAATTTAAAATGTATTCTAAATTTAGAAATAATAGAAAAAGAATATATATATATATATAATTATCGTTCTCATTGAGCCAATAGTTTTTTTTAATAAGAAAAAAAGAGAGGACCCTATATATTTCGACTAAGGACATCTATCAAGTTACACACATTACTTATCAAATTGATTAAAATTATAAAGACAGAGGCCGATCATGTTCTTGTTTATTTTGTTTATCTCATAGACGAACTATGTTCTGTCTGTAGATTCATTGAGTATGTGTATATAGCATCGAACACGACCTTTAACATACGTAGGATACAATATATATATATATATATACGTATAAAAAGAACGAAGAAATGATCTCTTTCTTCATTTTTTTCGTTTTGAAATAAGCGTTTACACTTTTCATTTCTTATGTTTTACTGTATTACATACGAATATTTCAACGAGCAATCAAGATAAAGAATAAGAGAGAAAAGAAAAAGACGAGTGACAAAGTCGAAGAGGCTTCATATCAGTCATAGGAGAAAGAAGAAAAAAAAAATCTACGAGATGATATATATATATATATAGAGTAGACTGTACAATTCATATGTGTTGTCTTTATACTTGACCGGTTATCATCTCTTATTTGTCTCTATTATCATCATTACTGATATAGGAGATTTAAAGATTAAAAATAGTCAAATACAAGATTTTTTTTCGATGCATTCCGAACAAGTAAGTTAGGAAAAAATTTAAAAAAAAAAATTTGTTCAATATTTTATAGTAAAATAAAACGAGAGAAATTTTGTTTCATTTTGGATTTTTTTTATCTTATGCATACAAATAAAATATGATTTTCCTTTTATCTTGACTATTGAGTAATAACAATTAACAAATCATAGAAATGATTGTATGCATTTCTTTATCTTTATTTCCTATTGATTATTAAGTAATAAATTTCAATTGATTGTTTTTCTTTTTCTATATTAATCTAGGGCAAATGCAATCGTACTAATCCACCATGTAAATATCTTCATCCGCCTCAACATTTACGCGATATTTTACTTCAAAACGGACGCAACAATCTTATTCTTCGTAGTATTGGTATATTGAATAAATTATGTTTGAAATCATTTCATTTAATTTCTTTTATTATTTTAGCTATGAATATTGCTGCGAATCAAACTATTTATCCACAAACGGCAGCTCATTTGCCATATCCCAACGGTGCTATTATTCAGAGTCCTATACAACAACCTACTTCACTTGTAATAATGTTTCTTTTTTTTGTTGCTATTTCTTTTCTTCTAATATATTGATTTTTATTCTTAGCCATCTTATCATCATCTTGGACCAACAGCTCCGGGTCAATCAGCATTATTATTCAATCCAGCTGGTCAAGCGTTTAGCATTCCTTTACATGCAGCTCATTTACAACAATTATCACAAGCTACACCTGCTACACCTATGTTTAGTTCAGATGGTGCGCAATATTTTCAACCGGTGACACAATTAACAGCACAAGGAACTGGACAAAAACCAGCACGTACTGATCGTCTTGAAGTATGTATTAAATTTTTTTCTAAAAAAATAAGAATTTTTATTATTTATTAATTTTTGTTCACTCCCATTATTTCTTTTATATCCTCTTCTTTACACAGTTTTGAGAGAGTTTCTGGTAAGTGAGATATGTAAATGTTTATCTAGCAGCCAGATGCGCCAACCCATATATTTATATCTATAATTGCTCCATCTGCACGCTGAAGCAGCTAGTTAAAAAAAAATAAAAAATAAAAAACAAATAGAATTAAAAAAAAAATCAACAATGAGCAGCAGCAGCAACCTACCAGCCAGCCATTTTTCCTGCCCTTGTTTCTTTCGAATTCTAAGCTCTGTTTGGTTCACTAATCTGCTCTGAGCATTATACTTCAGCTCTTTATCTACCACGCGCCGCCATTTTGCCAGCTGTTGTTGCTGCTCTCTTTACTATAGAAACCAAATCAACCAAACAAAAAAAATAAATAAAATAAAATAAACGAAGCTCTTCGAAGCATGTATTTCGCTCATATTCATAAATACACATACACCTATACACAAACACATAGGCCTAAATGTTCACGTTGCGCGTGCGCGTGCAGCTTTATCCTTGTTATTTTTGCTGCTCAATTATATATACATATTGATTTCTACTCTATGGTTATTATTCGTTTTGATTAACGTTAAAAAAGAAAGCAAACCGAAATATAAGACATCATTATCATCGGACTTTCATTTCTATAGGTATATCCGAACAGCAATTCCAATCATGATGCCTTAAAGGTTTGTTATATAAATAATGATAGATGTGGACATATCGTTTATGTTGTATATGTGTGCTTATCATTTGACATTATGCACCAATAAAATTTCTTTGAGATAAAGAGGGAAAAATGATTGTTATATATTGTTTATCCTTTTATATATATATTAGAATTGAGTTAATATTAAATTGCATGAAATATAACATGTTGATACATCCCACTGAAATGACTATACTTTTGTTCCCCTACTAAAACCATATATCTATATATCCCATTTAGTCATACCTTGATCTTGACATGCTATATGTAAGTGATGATTATTTTATTTGATAAATAAAAGCGAGTGCATATATATATATATATATCACACCATAACCTATAGCAAAACCAGAGGCCAGCTTGAATTTTATTTAGTATATATATATATATATGTATATACATAGTAGACATTATCTTTCACTTATCATCTATTCTTTGTTATGTGTTTTTATTTAACATAATTTATATGTTGTGTATTATTTGGGCACTTGTGTTGTCATGGTTTTGTGCTTAGTATCTATGCATTTACACTTGTGGACTCTTCTCTGCTTATTGCTTGCTTCTGTAGTTATTTTCTTTCTTTTATATTTTTATATCTGAGCGCATGCTTTTTGTTTTGTGTTTGAACGGAATAATTTTTTTTTTTTTTTGTTTTTCAAAAAACAAAACATTCTTTGTATGGCAAAAACATATTCAATCCTATTATTGGCTTTTTCTTGTGTTCAGCTTATTTTTTTCCCCGTATTATTATTTTATTTCTAGGTATGCTCAGATTTTCAGCATGGTCAATGTTTAAATACAGCTGATACATGTCCTTTTGCACATCCTCAAACACATTGTCCACTTGATACAGATGGTCTTGTTATTGTTTGTGTTGATTATGTTAAAGGAAAATGTATTCGTGAAACATGCAAATATTTTCATCCACCTGAACATCTTGTTGCACAATTAAAAGCTGTTAAAGCACAATCAGCAGCAGTTGCTGCACACGTTTATTCTAATACAGCAGCAACTGCTATTCAATATTCACCATCAACTTTACAATTTGTTCATCCTGTTACATTGAACAGTAGTCAGCCTATATTGGCTGCACCACATACTACTACTACTTATGCCTATCCTCAACGAACATCTACAGCACCTGCTTGTTCCTCGCCATTGGTATGCTTTCAACCCCTTCTTGCACGCTTTATTGTTGCTTTAGTTTAATTTGTCTTGATTCTTGTTTTTCTTTTTTTAATTAATTCTAATCAATCATATTTTTTTTTCAAACAAATTGAACAAAAATATTTTTGATTTTAATTATTTTTTTTTTGTTTCTTCTAGCAACAACAAAATACTCATGAAGATGATGGAGTATATGCAAATGGTTTTGTTTCACAATATCAACCATATCCTGGAGCTGCAATACAAACAATATATACACAATCTTCATCAGTTGATTTAAAAGATGTAAAAGAAAATTTATTAATTAAAATTAATATTCGTCTTGTTTTTTTTCAGTCACAATTAATTAATTCGACTAATGGTGATACCATCGGTCGTAATGGTTCATCATCGTCTTCATCATCATCATCAACAGGTGTTAAGGTTGGTAGATAAATTCTAGGATTGTTTCTTTTCTTTTCTTTTTTTTATCTATTTTTTCATATAATAATGTCATTGTGCAGCAAGCAGTAGCCTTATTCTTTTCTGCCGCAGATGCCGTTGCCTTCTGTGAACGTGACTTGTGATAATAATGGATGATACTGAGCTTTAATATATAACAACACAAAAATTATATTTTTAGTCGATCGCACGAAATTCTTTTATTGTTGGTTGTTTATCAATTTCTTTTAGAAACAACATTTAAGAGTGCTTATAAGCTTGTAAAATATAAAATTTAGCACGTCATAGAAGTTACAGAAGCTCTCTTTCTCTCTCTTTAATAACCATCGACAATCAATATATTTTTTGTTTAAAACAAAATAGCAGCTTATTGTGTGTGTGTGTGGTTTTTTTTATTATTATCGTTGTTTAATTCTTTGTTTGTAGTTTGCTTGTTGCACACACATTCTTGTTCTCTATTCCTCTTTTCTACTAATCTAGGCAGTGATCGATCCTGTCAGCAGCAGCAGCAGCATCACACCGCAGACAAAAAAACGACCGCTTGAAGACGATACTGCTACTACCGGTGCCTACCTGCAGCTGGTATTGCACACACGCTTTTCTATCCTTGATTTATTTTTTTTTTCTGTTTGCTTTGTATGCTTTGAACACTGACAAATGAAAAAAAAAAAAAAAAAAAATATTTGATTTTTATTATTTATCAATTTAAATGATAAATAATGAAAATGAAACTGATCGAACCACATGGAGAAATAATAAGAAAAAAAAAATATATATATATATAACAAACAAGCTAGTTTGCTTTGATGCTTGCTTATTTGATTTCTTTGCTTTGATTCAAAATATGCTTCTTGTGGTTTGGTCAGTTTTATGCATATGATAATCTTTTTTATCTCTTTTAAAGCTTCTAGATGAAAAAAAAAAATATATAGACTGTTTTATCTTTTCGTTGGGAAAATTAATAACAAAGCAAAGAAAAAAAAAAGAAATAAATCATTTTAATATATATTTCAATTAATTAATATAATAAAATATGTTTTCGATTTCATTTTGTTTTTTATAGCCGCCTGGAACACAACTTATTGCTGCTCCACCTCATTATGTTCAACAACAGTCTCAACAACAACAACAACAACAACAACAACAACAAGCAGCTTTAGTCGTACAACATCAACATCAACATCAACATCAACAAAAACGTTCAGCTATTGCTGATCCTAAAACTGGTATACCAATGGCTGCATATCCATTAACAGCATTTTCTTATCCATCACCATCACCATTACCAATACAATTTCAACAACAATATTTAACTGCTGTTCCTATGACTTGTAAGTGATGTTCTGTCTAACTTTTTTTTTATCTAGAGCATGACAACGAAAGTTGTTGTTTTGTTGCCTATATGCTTATTTTTTGAAAACAAAAATGCCTCATGTACAGATATACCATCATCTGGTATAATCGCCGTTCAGGGTGCGCTTGTATCTGTGGGTTCATCTTATGTAAACTATATTGACAAGGGAGATGTTTATAAAACAAAAAAAAGAAAGAAAGAATTTGTTCGGCAACATTATGCATCTAAATATTAAGATAGAAAAGATTTGTTGCTGTTTGTGTTTTCTTTTTGCAATATGTTCAAGTTTTTGTTTTTTTTATTCTTTGCTTTCTTCTTTCTCTTAATTCGTTCAATATATTCAGCTCAACCTCAAATGAAAAGTAAGTATTATATGTTGGGATTAAATAGTTATATTCACGATTATGACAAATCAAAAAGATGTTTTCCTCTTGTTATATTTCTTCTTTTGTTTGTCTTTTTTTTTTTTGCATGCACTTATTTAACTTTTCTTATAGTATTTTCATTTTATTTTTTGTTTTGTGTGTGCTTATCTAGTGAATACTGCATGATACTCACACACAAAGTTTTATTCCTACTGTTTTTATTTTTTAATCTAAAATCAAAAAAAAAACAAACAATATAAACGATTGATTCATAATTAATTTTTTTTTTGTTTTCTTTTAATATTATAGTTACTGGATATACTTCCCATTTGCCGAGACTTTAAATTACAGCATTGTATTCGATCACAATGCAAATATATTCATCTAGCTAAAGGTAATATAAATCATTAAGATTAATATTTTCTTTTTTCGTTTCTACTTATAATGTTTTCATTTCTTAATTAAGATTTTGTGGAAGTTAATAATGGTTATGTGTCTATTTGTAAAGAAGCTATTTTGGGCAATTGTTCTAAAACTAAATGTAAATTTATCATATATGTACTGAGGAACTCCAACAACAAATTCTTTATTTCAATTTTTATAAAAGTTGGCATTCGAACATTACCAGCTCTATAATAACAACAACTAGCCCATATTATCCATGTTTTTTCATTCTTCATCTTTCTTTTTCTTTATCTATATCTTCTTACGACAAGTACGTAGGTTTTTTTTTCTACATATATACATAAACACATTTTGGTCTTTCTTCTTTACACATACAAACACATAAAACATGTATCTTTTTTTTTTTTTCTTTTTTTTTCTCACTTGCTGTTCTTGATGTTTATGATTTCTATTTTTTTTTTCTTGTTTGTTTGGTTGTTTGTTTGTTCGTTCGTCCGTTGTTTCAAGTTTGTGATGAAAAGTTCTACAGTACATACACATTGAAATATTCATATGTGTATGAGCAAAAAAAAATTTAACTAAGAGACTTATAATCAGCAGTTATATCCGTTCTTTTTTTTTTCGTTTTTTTTTTTTCTATTTGTCATCATCATCTTCTTCTACTTCGAAAAAAACAAGAATAATTTCTTCTTTTCTTTTTATTACTTCTCTTTATATTCGTAACAGATGAGAGTTAAAGACTAATTCGCATGCGCGCATGTACAGGAAGCAGCAAAAAATATATATTTATACATATAGAGTGAGAAACAATAATTGAACAAGAGAAAAGGAAGATTTCCGGTGTATTGTTTTCTTTTTTTTTTATAGTTTTTCTTATTCCTCTCACTATCCTCTTTTTTTTCTTCTTGATGCAGTACACATAAGATTGGTCCTAGTCAATCGTCTTTCTCAGCTACACATTCCGTCTTCTATCCCTTTCGCTTTGTAGACTGAACAGTAGTAGCTATGACCGATCGATTTGAGTAAAGACGAGAAGTCACTATCGAGTTTTCATGTCATTTTTATTTATGTGTTATTGTTAAATACTTCTTTTCCTCCCGGCAATCTCTATTATTTCCGTGGTGCAATAGTGATGTCCGTTATCTCCTAAACAAAATCTAGAAGATCAAAAAAAAAACAAAAACAAAAGAAATACTCTGTCATGCGAACAGTGTTCTGAAATTTTCGTTGTTGTTGTTTTTGTTGTTGTTTTCTACAATTTTTGCAATATACTCTTTTCTTTTCTTTTTTTTTTCTCTGATCTAAAAACAAAAACAAAAAAAAAACAAAAAACACAAACACACAAACATAAAGCGAGCGTGCTAAATAATTTCTTTGGTCATGTATTTTTATTCTCTTATTTGTTTTGTTACTGGTGCTATTCCAGTTTCTTTATATTTCATGCGCGCGATAATTTCATCGTTTTTTTTTTTTTTTCTTTTGTGTTCATCAGTCCGCAGAAACAAAAAAATAATTTATTGTGTCTCTTTTCGTTTTTTTTTCTCGTGGGTAGGAAAAAAATAAATAAATCAGTGAAATTCGATATTCCCTTTTTTTTTTTTCGTTTTCTCTATATAAAAGCATGGCTCTAAATTTTGTTCGTACTGTTTTTTTTTCATTGTCTACTTCCGTTAGATTATGAAATGTAAAACGCATGCCCTTTATTATTATTTTTTTTCGACGCTCGCTAATGCTGCTTTCTTCTTTGTTTTATTTGATCGTTTTGGCGCCTTTTTTTTTTTCGTCGCATGTTTTTTTTTATGCTTTCGAATCATCACCATCAGCTTGAATAGCACAGAAAAAAAAAATACTAACTCCTCTGTCTATTCCTTTTCTTTTTTTGTGCACTGCTCTTTCACTCGCTCGAAAGCTCTTTTTCTCTCTCTCTCTCTCTGATTATGTTTTTTGCTGCTTCGCGTGCGCTATCGTCGCTCACATGCACATACATATGCTTTCTCACTATCATAGAAAAAAGATTTTAAATATTGCAGTAAGTTCAAACAAATCAATATTTCAAAAATTATTGACAAAGACAAGTATAAAATTTCTTATATTCAATTTAAATTTCATTTAAATATTGACTATTAATATTTGATTCAATATGCTAATTGGCTTGCATATAATATATATATATATGTATGTTGCTTCTCACGCTTATTATAAAATATTGAGCATTTGCTATATACTTATTTTATATGAAGTATATTTTACTAAAGAAATACATAAGAAACAAGATAATTGAAGTTCTTACAGGATTTATGAAGTTGTTTTTATTGTAAATGAGAAGGTATTGATAATATTTGTTTTTTATTTTGATTTCTGTTGAATAGAAAGTGTTAATTCACAGCTTATAAAGAAGAGATGAATAATAAAAGTCTTCTTAATCTCGTATTCACATCACAAAATATAATACACAAGAGTGTCAATTACTATCTAGAGAAAAGAAGCACTCAGCATTTTTTAACATTGAATCTCGAATAAAAAAAAAAAATTATATCATTATATATGTTCAGTTTAGAAAATAAATTGTGCTCTTGAAAATTCATACATGTCTATATTCACTCATAATTATATTTTGTTTTTCTTTTTGTAAATTACTTTGTAATTAAATCATCCTTTAATTATCTATATTAAAATTACAGTGTTATACACCTAATAATTATCATTTGAGTTGAATTTAAACAAAAATCCATTAATCACGATGATCATTTAATAATGACCATAAACTCTTTAAATCAATGAACAATAATAAAAATATAATTAATCATTCAATATTCAAAATAAAAATTTATCTATATAATTTTCAACATGTCAAAAGATTTTGTCAATCACATTAATTTTTCTAATATGTGAAAATCATGTCTAAATCTTATAGACTATTTCTATTAAATAAATATAGAAAAATATGTGTGTTATCGAATAGTATTTATTTATTTAAAGAGTTCTGGTTTTTTTTTCAAAAAAAGAAAATAATAAATAAACTCTTGACATTTATTTGAGCAATAAAAAAAAAAGTCTATTTTTGATTATTAAATAGTCTTGATAGATAATCAATCATTTCTTTATACTCTCAACACATTCGATAGAAATCAAATAATTAATGCTATATTTATTTTCGTATAAATTAAAAAAATAATCTATCAAATCAAATTGAAATTAATTTTACTTCTAGGGATTTGCAAAATTTTTATTATAAATAAATAAAAAGAATAATCATCTCTTTATAAGAATACGTCATTAACAAACTACAATTTAATAACTATCATCAAATTCTATTTATTCATTGTTTTGTCATTTATTCTGAAAGATAAGATAGTCTTGTTTTTCATTCAATTTTTCTATCCTTTCTTAAAATCTACAAATTAATTAATGTCATACTACTTTTCTCGATTATTTCTACCTTTAAATAACTAATTTTCTTTTTACTAATTATAAATATAATATTCCCGAATTTTGTCTCTTTTTTTTAAAATTATATTGTCAAATTTATCATATAATCGTAAGTTTACCTTAAAATAAATAGTCATAACAACTGACATATATGATTATGTATTTTTTATTAGTTCCTGTTAAAATGCATACGTAGACACACGCAATGAACATTCATTTAATATAAGATTTCTATATATGATAGTGTCACGTTATCACGATCAAAAAGAAAAAAGAAAAATTTCCATATAGAATTTCTATGTAATGTGTTAATATTTGTCCTGAAAATCATATCATTATTAGAAAAAAAAAAAATCATTAACCATATTTTTCTCAAATTTCATCAACATCATCGAAAACTTCTTAAGATATTCACTGCAAAAAAAGATAATTAGAAAACAAATGTCTTAATATTATTATAAAAGTTTGACATAAATACGAATAAATTCATTTATAAATATATTTAATGTTTAAAAAAGTTCTTTATAACACTATATATAAACTTTGTAAGATATTCGTATATAGTATAAACATTCTGAGAATGAAAAAAAATATATATAAAACAAACTATTAAATTTTCTTATTCAATTTAGTTGGATTTTTTTTTTAAATTTTTAAATGAATAGATTTATTACATTGTAGAATTCTATAAAATATATCAATTGAATATTTATTTCAATAAATTTACTTTTAAAATGTTTTATTTTTCATCATATTCTCTTTTTATTTATAAGACACAAATGAAAGAAAAAGAAAAAACATGTTTGAAGGTACATTAATAATATTACAATTCGTGCACATTTCTCGTTCAACATAAATACAAATACATAATATAAATAAATACACAATAATAGAAGAAGGATGACAAAACACAAAACAATAAAATAAAAATGGACGTTTTTAAAATAGGAAAACAAAAACAAACAAAATGTTTTATTTCTATATAAAGACAAAGAATAAATTTGCGTAAAATGATTCCGACAACAAGACGGAAGACGAACAGTATATGAAGTTGATTAAAATTTGTTTTTTTTTTTTTGTTTTTTATTTTTTATTTTGTATTAATCACGAAATAAACTAATTTCTTAATTATTTTCTTTTATAGTTTATTTTCTGACTAGAATAGAACAAAAATTATTTTCAATCTGCATTATATCAAAGAATTTGATGATAGATGTTCATGGAATGAGAACACTTTGCATGAAACAAAGAAAAGAACACTACATACAACAATAAGCCGTAAAAAAAAGAAAAGGTCAATGACTAAATTGCAAGACGATGAGCAAGCTTTAAACGAATAGATTCAATAGTTGAAGAATCATCAGTCATTGGTAATGATGAATTAGTAAAAGGTGTATTCGATGTTGATGAAATAGATGATGCAAATGAAGATGACTGTTGCTGTTGTTGTTGTTGTTGTTGTTGAGAAACATTTTTTTTAACATCTAAATAAAAATTTTTGTCTATTATT